GAATTGCAACGGAGATGCTTTCGAATTATGGATGAAATTTATCATGTGACTGCGGCATGATTTAATTTCCAGCTATGTGCATCTAAAAGTTTCGCAATTAGGAAGATCTGAATTTTATGCGTTTAAATGAACTCATTAGAAGGAAACTTCGGCGAGAGACCTGGAGAATTTTAGATTAAATTTAAAATTGTTATATATCGTGAAATATTCATTGTGTATAATAATCTTAAGCCATTTTCTTCAGCGCCTTCTGTTTGTTCGCCGACATAATTTTAATCGCAAACGATAACTATTTCAAATGTTTCAAAATAAACATATATCCTTCTAAGAATATTTCGATCGTCCCATAGTATTAAATCATTGCGTTAAATTGATTTTACGCACAATATGCATATAATGTTATAATGCAATAAAAACAATTTCTTAAATTGCAACGAGAGGATCGTTCGTTTTCCCCGATTACGAATACAATAATAATAATAATCAGAATTTGCTCGAAATTGTCACGTACTTGGCCGATAAATGTTGCAATAGCTTGGTCGTAAATTACCGAACTCAGGTGTACACGATTCGGCTTAGCTTCGCGCGTCTGACTAATCACGGACTGTAACCACTGCGAGGTTACTCTAATACTTCAGAGATCCCGAATAATTTGCGATTGGCCGAACATATCGTTCCTTCGCATTATCCGCTACTATCAGCTGTTTCTCACGAAATTCTCCTTGTTTATAGAGCAGTGGTTCTTAATCTTTTCAAGTTACGAAACACTTTTGATTATAAACAAAATTTGCGGAACACTAAAATCGGTAAGATTATATAGGCAATAACAAAAATATACATAAACATATTTTTTATTAAAAATTATACAGTACAAATTATGTAACAGTAAAATATTTAAATTTAAATGTAAATTTGAAAAATAACATTCATAAAATAAAAAGAAAATTATAGTAGTTTTTTCTATGTCCACGGAGAGAATTTTCTAAAAAGAATATTATTATGTACATAATAAAATTTATTAAGAATTTACTATGTACATATTAATATTTTTATTGTAGTAAATATTAATTAGAGAAACTCTTATAAGATTCTTCCAATAGAATATTGTTGCACGATTACCATAATTTTCAGGATAAATTCTAAGAGAAAAATCTCTCTGTGTAACAATACCGTGCTTTCATAATTTCGCGGAACACTTGTAACACGTTCGCGGAACATTAATGTTAAGAACCACTGTTATAGAGAGAGAGTGTAACAAACTGTCGCAAAGTTATGAAAAATATTATTGATGACACGGCGTAACGATGATAATCGTAATACGTGCTCTGATATTCAGCACATTTGCATATTTGCAAAATTCGATGCAAATAAGAAATATTTCGCATTGTTGTCACAATCCCGAGTTGAACAAAGGTGGAGCCGAGGGACACGAAAGGAGGACGAAAGAGTTTCAACTGAAAATTTGCGCAGAATGCACAAAGACGCAACGTGGGACAAAGGGGCGCGTCTTCGCGTTCTTGGTTTTGAATTGTCGTCCTAAACCCATGTAAAACAATACGGTCTCGTCTCGAGAGAGCGCGCGCGACTGTCTATTCTCTAGGAGAAGAATCGTCTTGTATACGTCTAATTACTCGCTAGTATTGTTTACGCGGGTCTCGTCGTTTGCCAGCCGCCTTTTCGTTGCCGGTCTCTCTTGTTAGTCGAAATCCAAACTCAATATTACTCCGTCCTGTGTATCGAGTAAACGACGGAATCCGCTTTGAATAAAGTCACGTCGCCCGTGGTATATGAGGATGGTGCATAGCGTTGGCTTGCGCATGCTATAAAATAGGGTAAGCCGCGGTTATTTCTATCGTCCGTAACGTAAGAACGGCACCGATAACAATATTTCAATGTAAATTATTATATTGCAAAAGAGAGAGAGAGAGACCGAGTCCCTGTTATTTTAGGACTTATACGTCACGCGATTTTCGAAATTTTTCCTCCTTCATATCTTGCATATTTTATCAATTCTGCGTTTCCCCAAAGCTTTTTTCGTGAAATTCACCGGGGAATTATTGCACCGCGCTCTTTTACCGCAACTGCTTGAGCTCTACCGGAAGTGCGAAACACTTGCACTTGTGTATTCGTAACACGCCCGTGAGAGTTGCAAATTCCGAGGCGAGCGAGCGAGCGAACGAGCGAGAGAGAGAGAGAGAGAGAAAGCGAGAGGTAAGGGAGTTTGGACATTTCGCCAACTTTGTACCACGTCGGTGTCAAGTTTTATCGCCTCGCCTTTTCGCTCATCACATTCGAAACTTGTTGGCCGCACCGCTATTGCTCATTGCAGTCAAGCGGAAAAGCTTGCCCTGGTCTCGAACTTGATTCCGCTTCCTGTCGCGCGAGCACGCGCCCACATGATGGATACACTTTGCTGCGTGTAAGAGAGAGAGAGAGAGTGAGTGCGAGACGGTGGGGAGCGATAAATGTACCTAACTTCCGCCGTTTTCCGTCGTAGTTGTCGCGGCCAAACTTTCGCCTCCGACGATCCCGCTTTCGAGCGCAACAGCGTGGATGCTCGATTTTGCGTTAGGATCTTTCCTACCCGTGACCTACCAATCGAGCTTACATATTACGTGTTGATATTTTAAAAATAAAATTCAACATTATACATTTTGACATATTATTTATAATTGGGGAGCATATCTCTACTAAAATGACGAAAAAAATATAAATAAATGCACCTATTATTTTCGAGTATAATTATTTAAAAAATAAATGTACGCACTGTGCAATGCTTATATCAAAATAATTTGAATGATATGCAGCATATATATGTATTATTTTGCATATTTGCGTCGCGATATGCGAATAAATCTGAAACACGCTGAATTCACTTATATAATTTGTTCGCTTTTGAAAATGAAAGTAAATGGATAAACGTCATCGTCATTACTGTAAATGTTAGTGCACGGGGATCGATATAGAAGTGTCACATCAATTTAATATTATGATTCGAAGTGTCTAACAAGTCTGCTAGCTGCGTTGGGCTTCGTAATGGAGTTATCAGTGTGGCACTGCACAAGAGAAACTTGCCTGATTGGCGTTTAACGCTCGCAACGTGTCAGCCTGATCGTCGAGAGCTATGTTATTGCTGCGTTAAATTTTCCTATGCGCATATTTATAAATATTTACTTCAATAATATTGAATTCAGATCGCGTCTCATTGCACAATCTCGAATTAAAGATATTTTAAGGAATTGTTATTTGACATCCAATCAAATAAATATTATAAAAGCTTCTTAAAGCATTTGGGACGCTTGTCTGGTAAAGAGCTTTAATAAATCAGAAGACCATTTGACATTTTTAAATATAGTTAAATTTATGTCACGATTCTGTTCCATAAGAAAATCGGATTACATCGCTATCAAAAATTAATTCGCTTCTTTCTTCGCATGTTTGTAGCGTATCTTAGTTTTTCTTTGTTTATTTTTTCTCCTTGATATAAAATTGTGGAAAATAAACAAGTCTCCATTACCTTAATATATAACCGGAAGTGCGACGAATGTACGTTTTGATCTGCAAAGTCTAGATGAAAGGATAAGGAATATCCCTGTGGAATATCGTCACAGACGCTGACACGACTTTAATGTTTCTCTATATATATATATATATAATATATTCTCATATATACATATATACATCTCGTATCTATCTTTATTATTATCTTTATTCGATAGCCGTGCAAACGTTCGAATTAACAACGTAAGAGTATACGTAAATTATTTATTATCAAAAAGTTCTGTGCTCGATAATCAAACAGTTATATTCGTAATATGATTTAAGTTAAATTGATTAATGCTAGAGAGAAAAAGAAAAAAGTCCATATTATTTCGTAAAATGTAATTATAAGCATTTGTTCATTATTCAATAACTTTTGATCTTTCTTTTTAATTGCGTTTATTTGATTTTCAGCATTATATGAGGACACGATAGATTCGTTTAATTACACACATTCATTAATAATTTATATGAACCATCAAAAGGATATGCAGAAATTATACCTATAATTAACTGATATGACGTATTCAATTACTCGCGATTCTCATTAAATAACATTTTTGCTTACGCATTATGTATTCAATATTTTATTAATTAATAATGCGCAATCTCATGAAAAAATTATGTTATTTCTCTTTCTCTTTTTTTTTCCTATTAAAAATCATTGAATTTATATATAATTTATAAATCATAATCATATTGAATTCTCGATGTATGTATAAAAAATTCATAATATAAAAAGAAAATATAACACATACACACGACAAGTTAAAATACATCAATTGTAATGGTTACGTGTAAAAGAGAAAAATTAGATGTATACAGGGTTTGTCCGGAAAGTAATGCGTCGCATTTTTTTAAAAAATAATTTATTGATCGCATAGGTAAAACAACTTAAAATTGTTCGAAGTATGACCCTTCTGCGTCAATACATTTTTGCCAACGCGATTTCCATGCGTCATAAGATTTCTGGAACTCCTTGACTGGGATGCTGTTCAGGGAGGCCGTCGAAGTAGCTTGTACGTTGTCAACCGACTCGAGCTGTTGTCCTTTGAGCTCCCTTTTCAGCCGAGGAAATAAAAAAAAGTCCGCCGGGGCCAAGTCGGGACTGTAGGGCGGCTGCGGCACCGTTGCCACACCGATCCGGGTCAGGTAGGCCGTAATATAACTTTATCGCATAGCGTTGCTCTATCGTTCTCTCCATCACAAGTTCGACGCGACCACTAAGCAGAGGTTCACAGAATAAGCCGTCCTAACCCTCCAAGCGCATGGAAACAATTGAGCGACCTACCGTTGGAAAGCTAAGGGTACCCCCCTTCCTCCCCAACCGGTCCCATCGCTCTGCGATGTATAGTCGCGTCACAAAAAAATGCGACGCATTACTTTCCGGACAAACCCTGTACATTAAAAATTAGTCGCTCTCTGAAATATGTAATCCAATAATTATTTTATATTTTCAGCTGGATCCATGATTGTGGCAAAATGGTGGATCGGCAAAAGGCACTTCTGATGGTATTACTGGCGCTCCTGATTTATCCGAACGATATCTTTGGTAAGTTTCTTTATTTATAAATTAATACAATTGTCGCTCGTATATTGAAAACAAAGTGATAAATATAAGGCCAACTTATCGAGCTGAATATTCGAGATGTTCAGTCAACTACCATTTATTACATGTATAAATTATAAAACTACAGTCATTATATTAAAACTAACGCAAATTACAATCATTCTATAAACGTTTCGACCGCACGCGGTCTTCTTCAGTATAATTATTGAAATATAAATTCTTACAATTCACATAATATCGAAATTTAATTATAGTTATTCAGAATCAAGAGTTTTTGAGCAATTAACGCGTGTTTCAATCCGTCCTGTCCAACAATGTTCGCCTCGATATGATCCCTGATTTTGTTCAGATCTCGGATAGTTTCATCGTTAATATGCGAGAAATTAACCCGTTCCGTAGGCGCTGCGATTAATAAAAAATTACCGATCAACGTATGTCCAAATTATAATATGTATCCCCTACAATTGGTAGTATGCTTACCTATCATCGTTCTTCTTGACAATTTTGCTACTTATTAACAGTTATTAAGGATGACACGTAACAAACCAACAATACAGAAAGACAGCTCATTTTAAACTCTACTTGATCGGAGAGCGTGCGTGTTTATATATGATCTAATATCTATGTTTTACTCGTTAATGTCCTATTTGTCCTATTATTATTTCTTGTTCGCTAATATATCCAAAATATCAAAATCCGAGATCTGAACAAAATCAGGGATCATATCGAGGCGAACATTGTTGGACAGGATGGATTGAAACACGCGTTAATTGCTCAAAAACTCTTGATTCTGAATAACTATAATTAAATTTCGATATTATGTGAATTGTAAGAATTTATATTTCAATAATTATACTGAAGAAGACCGCGTGCGGTCGAAACGTTTATAGAATGATTGTAATTTGCGTTAGTTTTAATATAATGACTGTAGTTTTATAATTTATACATGTAATAAATGGTAGTTGACTGAACATCTCGAATATTCAGCTCGATAAGTTGGCCTTATATTTATCACTTTGTTTTCTTTATTTATATTCATTCCGAACTTGAACTAGAGAATACAAGGGCAGACGAAAAAAAAAAGAGAAAATTACGACCAATTCGTATTAATTATACGCGATCCCCTGAAATTTGCTATAACGAAAAAAAGACACTTCTGATGGTATTACTGGCGCTTTTGATTTGTCCGAACGATATCTTTGATAAGTTTCTTTATTTATATTCATTTCGAACTTGAACTAGAGAGAGAATACGAGGGCAGACGAAAAAAAAAGGCAATTTCGACCAATTCGTATTAATTATACGTGATCCCTTAAAATTTGCTATAACAGATCAAAAGGCAATTCCGGAAAAACAAGATTAATCTAATGACATCCTTTCCCTCTTTCCCCAGACGATCTCGCGATATTAGAATCTCGACGAGAATATAGATGCCTATCGCGTCACGCGAACGCGTTCGCAGATTTCGAGGGCCTGCCGATCCCGATAAATACGAGAGAGAGAGAGCCGTGAGATATATACACACATATATATATATATATCGCAATGTGTACGGGCAATTTTGCAACTAAGCCGCTCGCTGTGCACACGACCACCTGTAAATACAATACCGGGGACTAATCCGCTTTTGAAACGCACACTTGCACGACGCGACATACGGCGATATTGGCCTTATGACCTTCCGCTACCGTGAGATATTACTTTTTCTGAATACCAACGCGTGTGTTCCGCGGATAAAATGAACAATTCGTAGAGTTTCGTTAAAGCACGCATATTATTGCTCATTCCACATTTTATTATACTTGTTCGCGTAAAAAAAAATGGGGGAAAAATCGCGTATATATGTCTTTATATAAAATGTAAAGTGGAAATATTCATATAATAGGTATAATGTAATATATCCAATCGTGTAATATAATATAATCCAAATAAATAGACATGAAATAGCAGGCTGAATCATCCCTTCCTTCTCTGGCGTATATTTTATAAAAGAACTCTAATTACGACAATATTTAATTCTGAAAGTTAAAAGGTTTCCCGGATTAAACTCCAACAATGCAAATAGGTTTTCAGTTCATTTCGAGTGGAATTTATTTCAGGAACAAAAATTAAATGATTTTAAATGAAAATGCATCAGAGCAGGATTTTACGTGTTCGAATATCGATAATAGCAGCTAATTAATAAACCAGTAAATATCGAGGGATTATTTCGGGTATCATATTAATCATCTATTAATTCCTTCATATTATTATATGTATTAATTAATTATTACGCAAACATATTTATGCGCACATGTCACACAAGCGTTAATAGTTTTTGAATTACAAATAACTGACGAAGGGAAAAATATTTTAACGCAATTATTATATGAAAACCGCACAGATAATAAAAATAAAACTTTGCTGCATAAAACTAAACCTAATTTATCTTTTGTTCTAAAAAAGACGCAAATGATGATGAACGTATAATACAGAGAGCTAAACGGAATGCTCAGTCGTACAAGAGAATGTTCGTGAGAAAAAAAAATTACGATTTTAATAAAAACTACAGATATCACGCGTAAGACAGGCAAGCGACGACAGAAAGAGGAGAGGAAGAAAATGAGCAGACTGCGAAGAAAGATGTTATATAGTTTGACAAGAAAATTTCGCAAACTATCAAGGTTTTATCGCTTCCTCCAGTCGCGCATTCGCATGATAATTTTCAGCCAAGCGAAACGTCTTCATAACAGATGAATGGCATTTGATTACTGACGTCACTCAATTTCAGCCGATCTCTCTCTCTTTTTGTATTCTCTCAGCGGATAAATAGGATTTTCTGGCAGAAAACACTAGCGCATCTGAATATTTATTTTTTGCGAATTCATTTCTCGCAAACAAACAAACATTTGTATCTATACATTCCCTTAATGACACTGAAATTCTTCCTATCGCGTAAATTGCTCAATTTGCATTGCAACCTCAATACAAATTGAGGTTGCAATGCTCATTAAGGCTTCCGTAATAGATTCTGTTTAATACTACTTTTCAGATCCATCCGTCTAAAAATTCATATTTTTTAATTACCTTCGAAAATCCTTATACATATTATTTTGAACATGTTAAATATATAATGTTTAGATTATTTTTCAATGTATTTTTGATAGCAAAAAATGAATTGTGGAGATTTTAAAATACAATAAAACGAGTTAAAACAAATCCTAATATTTTTATTTAAAAAATTAATAATTTAATAAAATCAGTAAACTTAACATTTTTGAAACATAAATAAACCTGACAGTTTATTATTTGAAAAAAGCAGTTTTAAAAGTTTATTCTATTTTTTACAAAAATTAAACGATACAAAATATATCTTAATTTATATACAAAATAAATTTTGAAGAGCTCTGTACAGCTTCTAGATTGCCGATAATTGTGTATAAATATTGATATGCGAAGGGATAACTGCAAATCAATAATTACGAACTGGACGTCCCATCCCAATAAGTGCGAGGTGTTTCATTGTGCATTGAATATTGAGCGGTAATGCTGAAAGGGATAAATAAGGAGCGGAACGTGCAGACCATAGAAAGACAGTATTCGGCCAATCGGGGACTTCCGCTTATCGGTCGCTTAACGAACGATGAATGGAAAAGGGGTGGCCATTCAAAAGCGGGCAAACGGAAGAATAAATTGAGTTAAATTAAACGAGACCTTCTTTTACGCGACTTTTCTCGAGACGAACGACATCATCGATGAAGCGATACCGCGACGCAAATTCTTCGTTCTATTTAGAAATGTCTCATTTAATCTAAGATATGCTATTTTCATCGTAAATGCAGCGTGTCTCCAATCAATTTTTCGTCGTTTTTCTCTGCGGTTTCTTTGCAATAGAAATTCGCTCGAGAAAAAGACTCGTATAATAAGAAATAATGTATTTAATCTTAATTTCAAATAAAGATGTAACGATATTATTAATTTCATATGGAATCTAAAAATGCAACATTCGCGATATTTTAATGGAATATTTCATAAGTCAATATTCACTGGCAAATGATTCCCATCGCAAAAATTTTCGAAAGCAATGAACATTTTTGCGACTCGATGAATTTAACATCATGCTCTTCGGTATATAAAACTCATCTATTTATGTTTTGCATTATCAGCACCGTCGTCGAATTGCGACAAAATTTACTCCAAAACGTTTCGTTACGATAAGCAACTTTTGCGAGGTAAACTATAATTAAAAGAAAAAATGATAAAAAGAAAAAGAGCATGACAGAAAAAAAGAAATGATGTTAGTTATATTTTTATTATAATTCGATTTTTCTTGAAAGGAGAATAAATCAATTTTCTTCTCTTTAAAATACAATAAAATCGAAGTAAGAGAGAATAATTAAAGACATGATACATGTTAAATTGCACGCAGTAACATGAATAACAGAACAGAGAAGAAGAAAAAAGACAAGGCGGAATAAAAAAAAGAGAAAGAGAGAAAAAGAGTTAAGGGATACAAAACAAGAAAAATGAAACGTTGAAACTCGGGAACACTTTCTGTTGAGAGTCACGACTTTAAGAATATTTCTTTAGCCGGCCAGAGTTACGTGCGGACGGTGGCTGTTAGGTGACGAGATTTGTAGAGTATCTGTTTGCTTGTTTGGCCGTTTACTTTGGCCACTAGACGAAGGAGGAAAGTGCGTTTGCAGGCGCCAGAGTGGATATGACTTTTCCCCTATATGCAAAGTATTAAGCTACATCCTCTTCAATTTGTAAGATATATAAAAATATATCTCAATCTGTTGGAATAATTTCTTAGAGAAATCTTATTGCATTATATTAATTTTATTCCTTTATGGTAAAAATAAAAAAATACATGGAAAGTGATTTTCGGAAATTAATTATCTCGGAACAAATCCAAGGAACGATGATAATACGAGTTTTTCGACATTGAAACAACAAAAGCAACTTGGCAAGCGAGTTGGCTGTCTGCCTTTGGCTGGAGA